GCTGCTGCTGCTGCTGCTGCTGTTGTTGCTGTTGTTGCTGCTGCTGTTACTGTTCAACAGTTGAATTAATGTGTTACCTGAAGAGCTTAGAGTTTGTCTTCGATTGTGTTGGTGCAGGAAAGCTTGGAGGAAGAGCCTGGATAAGTTCATACATGATTTTTTTTTTCTCCAAACAAAGTACAGTACAGTACAGTACAGTACAGTGTGTGCTGGCACACAAACGAATCATCATGTGAGGCGTGACACAGTGAAACACACTCCCTCTCATCCTCGGTGTTATCTGACTCTGTGAATAAATCATACGCGGCGTGTTCAGTACGTGAACCTAATTTTAATGCCATTTAGGCGCATGGAGAGGAAGAACGGAGGCGACCGCTGCAGCAAACGCAATCGTATTAATCATCATATAAAGATAATGCGGCTGAATTATTGATGCACGTGAAACCTACTTGTATGTGGCTTTGTGGCAGCCGAGCCTCGTGGGAATTGTGGTAATGGTTACAGCAGTAGAAAGGCTCCCACTCCTCCCACAGCCTCCCCTCCTCCCCCGTCTTTATTCCTTCTCCCTCCTGTTTGTGAAGTGCAAGGCTGTTTGAGTTTCTTCTATTTAAATACGTACAATAAGTCTCTTTAATCTGTTAATGTCCACATCACGGTGAGCCGTCTTCCGCACTGGGACACGAGGAAGTGCCTGACATTAATTATTACAGATGAAGATGGAGAGAGAGTTTAGGATGAGGTCAAATTTGGGGTGAGGTTTAGTTTAGGCTCTCAGTACAGTCAGTACCTTCATGAATAAATACCTGGAGCCTGAGTTTAAATCAAAGAAATATTGTCAGAGTCAGAGTGTTCCCCGCTCACGTCATGATCCTGTAACTGAGCTCAGTTTTGTACTTTTCTTCATTTACGTTGATTTCTCTGAGTCTTTGTAGTATGTACACACACAGTCGTTCATCCTGAGTGTGTGTGTGTGTGTGTGCTGGCAAACCACAGACAGTTGTATGGTCAAGCCTGCCAAACATCATTTACTGTTGTGGTGCCAGAAAACAGTATTGTATGACAACAAACTGCCCCAGAGAGTCTCAGTCTCTCTCTCTCTCTCTCTCTCTCCCCCTGCCCCTCCTCCCTTTCTCGCTGCCTCTCTCCCTGTTTGTCAGTGTTTCTTTTTATCTTCTTCCAAGATTTTTTTTCATCTGTTTCTTTGTTGTTTTCCACTTCTGCACAATTTCTCATCACCTTCTTTCCTCGTGGATCTGTTTAATGGGTAAAAGAGAGAGAAACAGAAGCAAAGAAATTCCAGTTTTATGACTCAGATTTCTGCACCTGTCACCGGGAAAAAAAAGAATCTTGTCAAAAGCCGACTATAAATACTGTAATACACCCAGTATGTACCAGTCGTGATATATTTTGTATGGAGCCGCCTTCACCTGGCATTATTCCTGGAGCTGAACACTGTAACCGTGTGTATGGTTTTTACAAAGACAAAAAACCAAAAGAAAAAACATCACGACCCCTAATTAAAGTTCCAAAAAAGCTCTAAACAGCCGGGGAATTGAACTCATTCCCCAAACTTTAGGCCAGATAATGTTTTCTTGTCTAAAATATTTTGGATCCTCAAGATAAGAAGTAGCAGAAAAATCTGTTCTGCTCATGTGGTTTGGGGCTTAGCTGTTTCCTGCAGACCTCCTGGTTTAAATCCCTGGACTAGTGTGGAGTTGTTTGATAAAGCTGTTGTTACACTTGGAGACTCTCTCGCTTTGAGAGAAAAAAAGGCATAAAAAGGGATAAATGCAATTACTCAGTTGTACTTTTGGACCAAATGATACAGATTTTAAATTATTTATTTGTGATGTGATTGAGTTTCTTTATAAGTAATGAAAAAAAAAATACAAGGAAAACATAGTTTTTTCAGCTCATAGATTCAATAAGTGGTATTAAAACAACCAGGCTCCTGTTTCAGGATGGTGTTGATTTGACTCTTGTGACAGTGCACACTTTTGATCACACTGATGATGTCAGACTGATGCTGAGCAGAATCGGCGTTGTGAATTTTCTTTCGAAAATGTCACGAAGCTGACGTTCAAATCTGTCCCCTCGTCAGCGCTCACTCGATAATCGACGGCTCCTGTGAATCAATCACGCCCCGACGGGCTCCGCACTGACACAGAAAGAAAAAGAAACAAGCCATGTGGCTCTGTCAGTGAATCTATAAATCTCCACGCTGCACACGGACACATTATGTGACCATATGCTTTATGGCCTCGCAGACTCGCTCCCTCACGCTCTGCTGTGCAGCACACCTGCTTTATATGTCTTTACATGATGATAGACCTGGACACATTCACTCTATGCTTCATGCTCTCTGGACATTGGGTTGAAAGGTCGTCAAGCGTTATCTCAGCAGTGACGATGACGACGATGATGATGATGATGATGATGATGATGTGTTGCTCCGCTCTGCTGTGTGTCACTCTCTAACCTGGCTGTGATGCTTGCTGTTATTGTAGAGATCCAGAGAGTTCATGTATGATGCCTTCAGTGCTACAGTTGATTTTGTTTCTGCTAGTACTCCTTCGCATTTGCAATAAAATGTAATTCTATAGGTTGGTAAATCTTCTGACCTTTATTTAATCAGCAACAGGAAGAAACAGTGTTTTCAATTTCTGCCTTTAAATAGCAAAGCATGTTTACTTTCTCCTAATGATTTAAATATGACTTAAGTATCATCCTGCACAACTCTCACTGCACTGGAGTCCATTGGAGTTACTGCATTGGAGTAAAGTGGAGAATAAATAAATCTAATAAGCTTCTACTTTTAATTTACTCAGAATTTACTCTGTTTTAAACCTTAGCCTGATTAGTTGAACACAAGACTGATGTACTCACAGGAATTGAAGAAAGAAACATTCAAAGATCCTCTTTAATAGCTCTGAGTCCCTTATATCCCCGTATAGCCATCCAAAGCCACCTAGTGGACTGGTATTAAATGGTTCTGTCTATCACAGATGAACAAAAACACATTTTAATAATATAATGGAGTCATAGCACACTAATAAAAAAATGTATATGGTGTACACTAATGTGTATTTGTCATCAGTTAATGCTAACAACTAGCTACTTTTACTACGGAAGGTGGAAGAAGGCTGTATATATTTCAAAGCTCAGCTCAGTTTGTGTCAGCCAATCAGGCCTCTTATTAATATAGGTTCTGTGTCACTCCATCTTAAAAATGCAGTGTTATGATGCTTCACTTTAAAAACTGCATAAATGTCTTTTTGCCTCCTGCAAGTACAGCTTGTTCCTGAATCCTCTGATACCGCCGTGACATAAAGTGAAAACGTGTTACTTGTTAGTCATCATTTCTCTCTCACCTCTCTGCACCTTCCTTTGAAGGCCATCTCCCTCTGCAGAAGGTTTATGTGTTTAATAACGTCTCGGAGAAGAAGGCGAATAAAAAAGGAAGTCGTGTCATGAATTTGTCAGTCTAAAGAGTTGAGCGCGTTGACGATTTATCTTTAATGTCTCTCACTCTCTGCCATCTTCTTTTCATACCCCTCCTGACGATCTTCCCTGGTAATAATCTCTTGTCGTCTGATCTGTGTTTTTTTTCCCATATATTTTCTCTGTCCAGGGGATGAAGAGGTTTGGCAGTATGTCCCTCAGCAGCAAGAGAAGTAAGAGGAGCAGTAGAGGGAGCAGCAGCAGCAGCAGTGGCAGCAGCAGTGGCAGCAGCAGTGGCTGTCAGAGTGCCCTGCTGTCTTTGGCTCTGCTTATGGTGGCAGTGGTGACCCTGATTCCAGATCCCGCGGTCGCCCAGAAGAGAAGTGGAGGTGAAAAAGTGCCCGTCCTGAACATTGCCGTGATCCTGGGACACACGCGCTACATATCAGACCGGGACATCCGGGCGCTGTGGAGCAAGGAGGACCCCATCGACGTAAACGTGGTGACGCTGCTGATAAATGAGACTGACCCGAAAAGCATCATCACACACATGTGTGATCTGATGTCTGGAACCAAGATCCACGGCGTGGTGTTTGGAGTGTCAGAGTGCCCTGCTGTCTTTGGCTCTGCTTATGGTGGCAGTGGTGACCCTGATTCCAGATCCCGCGGTCGCCCAGAAGAGAAGTGGAGGTGAAAAAGTGCCCGTCCTGAACATTGCCGTGATCCTGGGACACACGCGCTACATATCAGACCGGGACATCCGGGCGCTGTGGAGCAAGGAGGACCCCATCGACGTAAACGTGGTGACGCTGCTGATAAATGAGACTGACCCGAAAAGCATCATCACACACATGTGTGATCTGATGTCTGGAACCAAGATCCACGGCGTGGTGTTTGGAGATGGAACCGACCAGGAGGCGATCGCCCAGATTTTGGATTTTATTTCCTCACAAACCCTTATACCCATCCTTGGCATCCATGGAGGGTCGTCCATGATAATGGCTGATAAGGTAAGATGGGTGGGATGTGAATGGATGGTTAATTATTTATTTATTTTTAACTTGAACCTCTGAAAAAAAGTTACTGGAATGGCATGTTGATCAGACTGTGGCAGTTTGTGAGTCTGAATGGAAAAGAAATTGATTCTGATGAACTGTAGAAGGTTGACATTAGGACGGTTCCTCTGGTTTGAAGAGTGCAAGTCAGTGGCCCTCAAATGGTGGATGGCAGTCCCCAAATCGGCAGCTTGTGGGCTGTGAACACAGAAAGGTGGCATGTCAACGATGCACTGATTAACTGTTCGATGTTTTCTCTACTTTTGAAGCTCTATGTTTATGGATAATGTGACGAGAGAAGGAGCCTTGATCAAATCTCTGAGATACTTGATTGACCTTGGTGAAAATGTTTCCTTTTCTCCCTCCTAATATACATGTCTTGGATTCTTTGCAGAGACTTTATTTATTTCAATATAAGTCGTAATGGAAATTGCATCTGATTTGAGTATGTATTTTTTTGGTGTTGTTTTGGAGAAAAAAGGACATTTTTATTTCCACTATGGAAGTATTATGGCCTGCAGCCTGACCAATTATAACAAATGGAGCCATGAGTCATTGAAAATGTCTTCTGAATCCTTAAGATTATTATCTGAGTGCCCTCTGTCCAAGATTCTGAGACCAGCAGACTGTTCCATGCAGTGTTTTTTTTTTTTTTTTTTTTTTTTTTTTGGGGGGGGGGGGGGGTGCTCACGTTGTTTTCTGCGGTAGATTTGCGATAGTTTGTAATGATTTGTGGAAAGTTGTTCTGAGCAGATCAAGAACACACTCACCTGTCAGTATAGACATACAGTATCTGGCTCCAGCTGCGTTTGACAGCCTGTAAAATGGTAATATCTTTTTGTGCCAACAGACTGGAGGGGAGTCTTGTCTGTTAAAAGAACCCCACAGACACTGTAACGGTGGAAACCGGTGTCTGGAGAGTGAGAACACAGAGAGGAACCAGTGTGACTTTGGTTGGAAGAGATGATGTAAAACAGTAATAGTTTCAGCAACTGCAGCAGTAGGACAGGGAGGAACGCCGTCTACAGGGGAATCCTGGGTGATTTCAGATGAGGAGAAGAAGAGGAAGATGTGACTGAAGTTCAGGCTTTTTCTAAGCTTTGTTTGTCATATTTTTTCACATTAAAAATCATCGGCTCTTGTCTTTGGAGTTGTTGGGGACGCTGACCAGACGATAACTTGGTCGGTTTACTGATGTCAGCGTGTCTTGGTATATTTATGTTTCTTGGTTTTAACCTCTTAAATTGGTGTGTCACAAACCCTCCATCCATAGCTGTGGACTCCCTATAGGGGCCTGCCCCCCACTTTGGGAACCACTGGTATTGACTTTTTTTTCTACAGTATTTAAGTTTTTGATCTAGCATACTTTTCTGTGAAACTTTTATCAACTACCTTCTGGCAACATTTTTTTTATCATCTTATGTAAAGTATTTTTATATTTCTTTTGAAAGCCATGGTCATATCTTCAAAAAGCAATATTCCTATTTAAGCTCCAGTTTTGATTTTAAGATTCGAAAAATTCCATTTCTGCAAATTCAAGGACAGATATTTTGAAACTTTAATGTTACATTTTCTGTGGCTAATTCCACAGACTTTTCACCGTATCTGATTCTGGTCTTCCTCACGTAGTTTAGAGCAGGACCTCCAGTTTATTACTTGGCAGTCGTTTAGAGTAAATGTACTTCTTTAATCTTATAATAATATATATACAATTTTTCAATAGATAGACACTGGAAATTAGGGAGTTAAAAAGCCCAGAGCAGTGCAGAAAAACGGGGTAATAAACCCATGAACACACACTTATTCACCATCTGTGTCATTGTGATTTCCCTCTTTGACAGCAACCCCTCATTCCCCAACGAACAGACAAGGAGAATAATCCACTTCTAAGTTCCTGACCCAGCAGCCGCTCTGCTTTCTCACATGTTTCCATTTCCCCCTCACATCTGTCTGTCTGTGCTAACATCAGATCCACGGGCCGGAGCTTTCTCTCCGTAGCCACTCTCATCTATTGCTACAGGCCGAGGAGACATTTCTGAGCCCTTTGGTTTTTTTTGTTTTTGCAAATTTACTCTGGGAGACACTCGTACCAAACTTGTGAAGTGATTCCCTCCCTCCCCCACTTTTTTTCCTTTTTGCTGTCAGAACTCGTTCGTTCTTAAGTTCCTGACAAGAGAAAAGAGATTTTGCCTGAAAGCGTTTGACATATGTCCACCGACACCAGAGGGCTGTCAGGGTTTGTTACATCAGTTTTTGTAAATAAGCTGATTTAAGATACGGAGACAAAAATCTGCATTTCTTCAGTGAGTCTTTACACACAGCCGAGCATTTATGTCGGTGACACATCGTTGATATATGAGAAAAGGTAAAGGGTGGGGTTAATGTTGCACACCATTAGAAAAAACACACTCCCCAACCATGTCCAAAATCCTGGCTCGGGGGCCATTTGTGGTCCTTAAACAGATTAACTTAGGCCTCTGTTCAAAGTATATAATTTTGGAAGAATTATACAAAACTATACTGAAATTATTCATTCATTATGGCCAGAAGTGTCTCGGTGGGACAAGATGTTTATTTTCAATTTTTTCTTTGATTCTTTTAGAGTTTGAAAATGTGTCAGATGTAAATGTTTAAGTATGTTTTCAAAGGTAAAATATTTATATAAAGAGACTTCCTGCCAGTTCAGGAAAGTGTAGTGTCCATCCACAAAAAAAAATTTAAAAACAGAATAAGAAGACTATGGTTTCCTGTTGTGTCATCTTACATGTTCCTGCTGTAAGTCTTACATCGTGCTCTCACCTTCCTCCAAACACCCGCTCCTCCGTAGGTTAATGTTTATGTGCTCGTTCTCTGAAGTCTCGGTGGCTCGGAGTCTCTCTTTTTCTCGCCTTGTTCTGTGCAGATATTTGCTAATCCTCATGTGAAATGTTAGGAGAAGCTCGCCTCCTTGTAAGTCTCCAAAGTGTGTTTGTCTATTCACAATCACGCCTGCACACTTGTGTGTACATAGACGTGTGAATCCCCTCCGCCCCCTCACCCCCGTTGCCTTTTATATATTCTTTAATGTCTTTCCTGTCACCGTGAGGCTAAATCTCCTGCCGCTGACGACTCGCAGCACCAGTCCTCTCCACTTGAACCTTGGGAGAATACTCTCTGAGAGCGTCCTTCTTTCATGTTCCTCATCCCTGTGTTCTCCTCTCTATCTCCTTTACTTGTTAATTAGATAAATGTTGCAGGATCTCCCCTCCACACACCTCCTATCCTGTGTTGAATAATGCATCCTCGGCCTGTATTGAGTAGAATATATTATTGATTACGTAAAGACAGTCTTGCTGCGTTCTAAGCCACCCTACTTGAAGATGCTAGCTACCTTCAGCTGAGAGAGTAAAACAAACAAAAGTCCGGGTTGATTTGCTCTTCTTACACTTCTGTTTTACTCATTTTCACTTTCCCTTACACCCACCCACACACACACACGCACACACACACTTACTTCCCTCGACTGGTGTAATGGTGACAGCAGTTGTCTGGTTTGGCATGTTGAATGGCTTCATGTAATTCTTCCACTTAATGGTTATCGACTCTCTCCGAGGTCAGTAATGGCAGCTGGATCATGTTGTCACGAACAGGCTCCACTACGTGTTCCTCCAGTCTGTAAGTGACGCTGCTGCTCAGTGCTGCCAGCTGGCACCTCCAGTCTCCTCCGCCCTGAACTGCTCTCCTTCTTCCATGTTTACTCTTTACTTCTACTGATGTCCAGCCAACGGCTTTTTAATGGAATCATCCGATTCAGCTGAAGACCGTTTGAGTCCATTCTTCCAGAATGTTTGGTACGTTATGGGACAATAAAATGATTCAGTAGAAGAGTGGGGTATTTCCAGGTCAAAAATACAGATGCTATCATTTCAAATCAAAACATCAAGTGTCATCAACAGCTGTTTTACTTTTTATTTGATCAGATTTTTCAACCCACAAAATAAAAAAATTATCATTTCAAATCAAAACATCAAGTGTCATCAACAGCTGTTTTACTTTTTATTTGATCAGATTTTTCAACCCACAAAATAAAAAAATTGAGCAAACATTACATTTTAACACAGTGGCCTTAGAAACCTGGTGAATTGATGAAGCTCTGCAACAGGTTCTGCTGTTTTTCCTCAAGCTCCATCTGATTATCATTTAGATTTTTCTAAAACTGAGAAATCATAAGAAAAAAAATTCCTCAGACGAGACAAGGAAACAGTTTGTTGACCTGGTGCAAAAAAACATCCTCCAGAATGTTAGAAAAACAGTAAAAACATGGCTCAGAGAACGGTTTAGACCCAAGAATGTGTCACATATAAATTTGTATTTTGAAGAACTTTTTGCTTTCCATACTATAACTATAGATTTTATAGGAAAAATGTGCTTTTCTGCCTGAAAACAAGAGAACCAATTTCAAGCTGCTAGCGTTCGTAGATGTCAGAAAAAGTCAATACACCCTCTAGTGGTTACTAAATATTGAGTTAATGGTTTTCTTTTCCAACGACAGCACAAAAGCAACAGTATGTGAAGAAGCATGCTCCATCTACATTATGTTCCATTTTAGGTCCTGTTGAAATCTAATTTAACAACGTTAGCTGGTGAGCATTACCTAGCTAACATTAGCTAGCTGACTAGGGCGATTTTTAACTTTCACCTGTCTTTTAGGCTAATTCACTCTATATTTTTGCACATTATCATCATCTTCTTTTTTCCCAACAATGTGTGCAAATAACATGTTTATAGTCTGTGTATTACTGCAACAACAGTGTAGTTAATGGATAAACAGTGTGCGTCAATATGACCATGAAAAAAAATACATTCCAAATCTTGTATGTATAGTCTGTGTATTACTGCAACAACCATGAAAAAAAATACATTCCAAATCTGAATCAGATCTTCACAGTCCAGGAGCCACCTACAGGTACTGTAGA